CCTGCCCCTCACCCTCACCCTAACCCTCGCTAACCCTAACCCTGACCCTAACCCTGACCCTAACCCTGATGCTAACCCTGACCCTTACCCTCGCTAACTCTAACCCTGACCCTAACCCTGACACTAACCCTGACCCTAACCCTGATGCTAACCCTCGCTAACTCTAACCCTGACCCTAACCCTCGCTAACTCTAACCCTGACCCTAACCCTAACCCTCGCTAACTCTAACCCTGACCCTAACCCTGATGCTAACCCTCGCTAACCCTAACTCTGACCCTAACCCTCGCCTATTCTAACCCTGACCCTAACCCTAACCCTTACCATCCAGGCGTTCTCTGCTCTGCTCCCTGCTCTCCATCCTGAAGATCTCCGGAGAGAGGCGGCCGGCAGGGAGAGAGGTAGCCGGCAGGGGGGAAAAATTCCTGGAACTGCACGTCCTGGGCGTTGGGAGGTTCCGCACCCCTGCCGCCTCGAGGCCCAGCCTCGGTGGGCCTTGTGGGAAAGCCGTCCCTGCCTATGACATGCCCGGGCCTGTCATGTTCTATATACTCGGTAGAGGCAACACACATGAGCTGAGGGCACATATCACCATGGATACGACGTTGGGTTTTTGATGCCGGGCCGGTGATAAAGATCTTGTGAAATTCCCTCCACGTTGCAGCAACAGAAAGGTAAACAAGAGCACAATGGATGGACCTTGATATAGCCCGTCCGGTGCCAAGCACGTTGCAGCAACTTTCCCTTTGTGGAGGACATCAGAGAAGTTCCCGCCGGGGCGGCAGAGCAGAGAAGAGCAAACAAGTTCCTGTCTCTGCTCCCCGGCCAAATATCGATCCCGCCTCAGGTGACCCAAAGCATGGATCCCCACCTGGCCCTCACCTCTCAATCCCGATGTGGATTTTGCCGTCGTGGAAGCCGTGGAAGAAGCCTTGGATGAGCGTCGACCACTGGAGGCCGAAGGCCGCGATCAGGAAGTTGAAGGCCACGCTGCTGAAGCCGTAGCGCTTCAGGAAGGTCATCAGGAAACCGAAGCCGATGAAGATCATGGTGTGGACATCTTGGAAGCCTTGGAACAAAACAATAATTGGATATGTTAAGCTGGAGGATTCGGGATGGGGCAACTTTCCCAA